CTTTCATGGCAATGAATAGGAGATATATTCTTAAGCAAACAAGAAATAGAGACAGTTACAAAAAACAAATACATCATTTTGATTATGAGATTGAAAAGTTTCTAGAGAAACAAAATGAATATCTGGGATAAGGAGTGAAGCAGTCAAATGAGAAAAATATTTGTATCATGTTTGTCTATTAAGAGTTTAGTGTCTGAGAGATATAAACAGCTAAGGAAAAATGTAAGACTTTCCTCATAGACAGGTAGTCAAAGGATATGAACAATTTTCTAAAGACCTGCAAACTGTTGACCATATGAAAGACTGTTCCAGATCACTAATAATAAAGAGGAACGCACATCACAACTCAGAGGTTTTACCTCAGGTTTACACACAGCAGATTGGCAGTGATGACAAAAGATGGGCATAGTCAATGTTAGAGGGGTTGTGCAAAGTCAGTCACACTAATGTATTTTGGGGCAGTGAGAGGCACTTTGAATTAATGTGTAAAGCATTCTAGAAACATTGGAACCATGCAAACAAAGTAGCTACAATGCCCTTACTTTTTAACACACAGATTCCACTATGAAGTATATAGCCCAACAGTCATTGATAAAAGGAAGGCTCCATATTCCACCAAAGTACTTACAGCAGCACTTTTTGTGTAGTAAAAAACTCGAAATAAAGTTGATGCCCGTCAAACTGGGGATGACTAAAGAAATTGTAGTACAAAAATGTAATGGAATATTACTGGGCAGGAAGAAATGACACACATGATGAATTTGGAGAAAGCATGGAAAAAATTTTCATAAAGTGTTGTAAAATGAAGTAAAGAGAGCCAAGAAAACAGTGACTTCAACTATGTAAATTGAAATAGTAATAATAAAATAGTACTTGTGATCTGTGTCAATGAAGGAGGCATGCACATCGATGAAACCGTAGATCCTTCACATACTAAATTATAAAAGCTTTGAATTTTTCATCAAAGCAGCCCTCCCCCCCAAAAAAAAGCAACCTAACTTACTAAGTACTATTGGGAAAGCATGCAACTAAAAGTCTGAATTCATAAGTTCAGCTTTCAAACTTTTAGGGGGATTCTGTTTTCATTCTGTGGGATAGCCCTTCAGGATAGGGGAAGAGGAGACATATAGTGAGAAATTTAGCCATTTTAGAAGCAAAAAGTATCAGTAAATATTTATTTTTATTTTATTTCTGCTATTACAAAAATAGTATAATAGTGTTTTACATATAACAGCTGCTTGATAAATATTAAATGAATCTTTTTTTAATCAGCCTAGCTTGGTACCCAGGTAACTGGTATCATCAGGTTTTATGCACATGATTCCCAGACCTGTATATCCAGCCTTAATCTCTCTGGCTCATCTTGCATCACCATTGCCTTTTCCAACAGCTTAAATACAATGTTCCACAGGCACCTCAAACCCAACATGTCCAAACCAGATCTTATTATCTTTAACCCCAAATCCTCCCCTCTTCCCAACCTTTTTGACTGTCAAGGGTACCACTATCTCTCTCCCCCTTCTATAGTCTGTCTTCCACTCAGACAAAGTAATTTTACTAAGGCCCAAGTCTGATCATGTTACCCTTACCCAGTAAAAGCCAGTGTCTCCTGCCTCCCTGTACCTCCAGCATCCAATGTAAGCTTCTCTGTTTGGCATTTAATTCCCTTCCCCACCTGAGCCAATCATGCTTTTGCCCTCTTCTTCCAATCTGCTCCCTCCCTACACTCCACAATCCAGCTGCACCAGCCTGCCTGCTGCTCCTTGCCCACCTGCTGCTCCTTGCCCACCACATGCCACCTCCTGATTTTATGCCTTATGCTGGCTGTGACCCACAGCTGAAATGCTTTGCCCTGCTTCTTTGGCTTCCTTCAGGACTCAGCTTAAATCCCACTTTCTGCAGGAAGCTTTTCCCATTCCCACCACCACCATTCAGCTCCTTCCCTGCAAGATTACTTTCCTTTTACACTCTATGTATATGTGTGTGCTTGTATAAAACATATGTGTGTGTGTGTCTGTGTGTGTTTGTGTGTGCGCATGTATGTATGTATAATTTGCATGTGTCTCCCCTCTCAAATGTGAATTTGAGAGCAAGGCCCATATTTTTATCTTTGTATCCCAACTGCTCAGCACAGTACCTGTCACATAGTAGACTGAAATGTTAATTGACTGTCTGACTGATTCATACTAAGCTCAATCTAAGCTTATTTTGCTATGTAGGAATATAGGAACAATTCAATGTTTATGGTTTTATGTAGTTTAAGAAGTACTTCCTTATTTTTCTGATCAAAGTACTTTTTAGCTTAAAATTTTAGAAAAAGAATTTACTCTTCTCTTTAATTTTATTCTAGGCAAATTGCTATGAACAACTTTAACTTTTTCAAAGTATGTTGGCAGTATAGATGCTCAATAAAACAAAGATCTATGATTGACAAAGTGGTGAATTTCCAAATAATGCATAATTGAAAGACCACCTAATGTAGTTATCCATATCTGAAAATAAAGTCTGTACATTCTGTCCAATATTTCTTTGTCCCAAAAAGTTTCACTAATAAATGTGTTAACCATTAGTTAACCAAAATACGTTGTTTCCCAACCATGCTAGTTACCTGACTTCCTGCCTCTAAATGCTACTCATGTCCACTTGTTCTCCCAGCACCCCAGATTACTGTATCCTCATCTTAGCTCCGTGGTGTTGCTGGCTTCCTTCCCAGCTACCATACAACTTCCTTCAAGAAGCCTTTCTTGATCCCCCTAATGCTGGTGCCTTCCATCTGTGGATGATCTCCAATTTATCCTGTATATATCCTGTTCTACATAGTGGTTCTAATGTTGCCTCCTCCATTAGAACATGAGCTTCTTTTGCCCTTGTCTGTATCCCCAGCACCTGGTATAGCATCTACCATGTAGAAGATGAATGTTAAATGTCAAGTCAATGCTTTGAGTTATTCATTTCAAAAAAAAATAATGAGAAATGCTTCGAGTTCTTTACTGCTTTGAGATTCTTGGATTAAAAAATGCACAGCTATTTGGATTTCCACTATTTTGTAAACAGGTACAATAACATCAGTTGTATTTCTTTTTCCATTATAAGTGGCCCTGTTAAACAAGATATTTTTTTCAGTATATTTTTATATGTTATTCAGATTAGTTCCTCTATCACAGGGCTACCATTCTGATTTTGAAAATTGAATAGATAATTTAGTATTTTTAAGCCTACTGAAATCCAGATCAACTAATTAGCATATTTCTAAACAATTATAATTACCCTGAGAATACTTAGGGTTAGCTATAGCAAGGAAAAATAATTCTCTTTAAACATGAAACATCTCAAAGACATAAAAGACCTACTTTATAAATTGAGAGGCCTAAGACTCTTTTGCTTTATTTTGTTTACCAAATGTAATCAGAATCCCTGAGGATTTCATCTAAGATTGCAACCCCATAAAATATATCCTCATTCACCAAAATCTGAAGAAGAAGAAAAGAAATTGGTGAAAATAAAATTAGGAGATCAAAGTAAGTCCTCCTTTTTCATCTCCGTGCAGTGAAATGCAAATCTATTCACCAAGGACTGATACGTTTTTCTGCAGCTTACAAAATTGTAGGAAGTCAGGCATGATTTTAAAAGGAGATGATTGTCATAAAATCATTTTTTGGCTCAGTGAATTATACAGTATTTAGGAAGAAAGAACAAGTAGATTTAAAAGAATTCTTCACAAAAACTTTCACTAAAAACGATAAAGTTTAATTTTTCATTACTTCTTAAAATGCCTCACTAGGCACTGGCCTACATGACTTTTGATATTCAAAGCTTTGAAGTAGACTCCACAGAAGACGATGGGGCAGGGAATTTGATTGACAAGGCATTTCTTTCTAAACCAGCCTTCCTCCTTCTAGGCTATCTATCTAGGTGAAGACAAAAAAAAAAAAGGAAAAGGCAGAAACAACAGAAATTGTTGTGACATGGCCATGTAATATTTTGCACTTGCAAAAAAGTTCAGGTTCAACTCATGACACATAACATGTGTGATCATGGATAAGTTACTCAATCTCTCATTGTCCTAAACAACTGTTTAAAACTCTAAAGTTACAGATGAGTTGTCATTTTGCTGATCAGGAAAGGAGCTTCTGTAGGGTGAGTTTCCTACAGTGATGAGACCAAAGGTATGTACTCCCCCAAAAAAACAGGGACACAGAGAGCTGGTCCCTTAGTACCACCATTGTGCCTTTTTAGAAATAAGCCATTTTTTGAAACTATGACATGTTTTAAAGAACTATTAACAGATGAATTCTTTCTGCAACTTTTTTTCTGAATGGCTAGTAAAGGAAAATCACAATGGCAATAAAAACCTTTTGGTTTTAACAACTGAACTGAAAAGTTAATTATGTAATAACCAAAATTTTCTCTATGAAAGTTCAGATTGAATTGTAAAATAATCATGTCCTATATGAAATGTCAGAATTCTGAGTATTTAAGAATTTAAATAACATAGGAATTTTTTAAAATTTAAAATTCAACATGAAGTCTGAGAAAATGTCCCCCCCGAAAGGAAATTTTTCATTGGTATTAATGCTTGAACAAATGAAAAAGCATTTATTAAAGTGCTAAGCGCTAAAGTTATAAAATAGAAAATACAAGACAGTTCCTGACCTCAAGGACCTTATATATTCTGATAGGAAAAAAATAGCACATATAAGAATATTAAATATTTAGATGATTTTGTGATTTCTTCAGTTTGGGCACTCCTATCACTGTCACATATTTCAATTTCCTGTACCTTCTTATGCTGTCCAATTCTAATTCACATATTTGCATGAATCCTCCATAGAAGATTCACCCAAATCTTTCAAAATAACTAGAAAATATTCCTTTTTTAAAAATTGGGAAGTAATTTTTATAACTATTAAAAAATCTCTTGGTATTAGGGCTTGTCTCAACTACAAACTTGCATTATAATATATCCCACACTGACTCATGGCATCTTATTATCTCTGTAGTATACTCCTGAACACGTGATTGGACCTGGAGCGGAAGCTGATCCCACTCAAATAACCTTTCCCGGATGCACTTGTCTCACAACTTCGTGCCTCCCTACCACTTGTTCATGTCTCCTTCATGGAGAGAATTATGATAATTCATGCCTCAGAGACATGGAAAGTGAAATGGAATTTGCCAGGCCAGTGTTTGAGTGCAATGCCATGTGCCAGTGCAGTGAAGAATGCAAGAACAGGATAGTTCAAAGAGGCCTGCAATTCAATCTCCAGGTGTTCAAGACTGACAAGAAAGGCTGGGGGCTTCGCACCTTGGAATTCATACCCAGAGGAAGGTTTGTCTGTGAATATGCTGGTGAAATCTTAGGATCTTCAGAGGCATGCAGAAGAATACAACAACAAACAAAGCATGACTTCAATTACATTATAGCTGTCAGAGAGCACGTATGGAATGGCCAGATAATAGAAACATTTGTGGATCCTACCAACATAGGTAACATTGGCAGATTCCTTAACCATTCTTGTGAGCCAAATTTATTAATGGTCCCTGTCCGTATTGACTCAATGGTGCCTCGACTGGCACTTTTTGCAGCCAGAGACATTTTGCCAAAAGAAGAACTTTCTTATGACTATTCAGGAAGATTTCATAATCTTACAAAGAATAACGGAGACCAAGAAATGCCAGATAAAGCCAAAATGGGGAAGCCTTGTTATTGTGGTACCAAATCATGTGCTGCTTTCTTGCCTTATGACAGTTCCCTATACTCACCCCTAGAAAAAAAAACGACAAGTTGAAAGATCAGTTAAAGACTATGACAGGCTACCATTAGTAGTAAACATACATAGTCATGAGAATTGTTTCCACAGTTTGAACCAAAAGGCATTAAAATAAGCATATTATAACACTTACCAAATATAGGGTTGGTCACATTTTCATTTCAAACTATTTCATGATTGAGAATGGGATAACATTTCCAAATCATAAAATGAAAATAAGCATGTAACACAAAAGAAGAGAGAACTCTGATAGTGCCCACTGAATTGTGTGATGATTAAAAAATTCTGAGACATAGTTTCTGGGTAATTTAATCATTTTATTAATAAGACCAGCATGTTATTAATAAAAGGATAGTCATTTAGCCATGTTTCTCAGACCAAAGACCCCTAATGGCAGTGGGCTGCCAGGTTATATGCCCTTTGAAGAGTAGGTGTTCCTGAGGGGGTGCCAATCAACTCTGATTGGTTAACACAATGAGAGGTGGGCTATATTAAAATGAGGGTCTTGGGGTATATGACTTAAGTCACCCAAATCTTGGTCATCAATTCCCATAATCACTTGTTTTAACAAAAGGAAGAATCAATCCCAGACCTGTTGAGCAAACACAATGAGCAGAAATACACCCATTAGCCCAAACTTAGAATTTCTTTCACTATCTGATTAGATCTTGGCCTGGGTAAATCTCTCTTACAGATTTCCTACACTAGTTGATTTCTGGATGAGGAAGTTAAAAAAAATGAAAAACTTTAGTCTTGATTCAATAATTAGTTATTAAATATGAGAGAGAAATATTAATTTCTCATAATTGTGAACTTAATCATCCTACTTTATACAGCCCTATTGTATAACAGAGTAAACTATTTGGGAGTATAGTAAACATCTTCAGAGTTCAAGATACTCTTCGAGCTCTGGTATATCATTTAGCAAATTCCTATTCTAGGGCACTAAATAGTAAAACAGAAAGAAGAAAAATTATGTAAGTACTCTAGATCATGGAAGAGCTCTGTTAACCTTACCTTTGTATGTTGGACATTTCACGTCTTATTAAATATATCAGTATTTGTTTCTTCCTCCACTAAAGACCTACTCCAATGGTTCATTCAAGTCAGCAGGCATCTTTTACTATGTGCCAAGCACTGTGCTAAGTGCTGGGAATACAAATACAAGCAGAAACAAAGACAGTCCCTGATCTCAAGGAGCTTACATTCTAATGGAAGAAAACACCACATACAAGTTATGGAGCACCATTTTAATAGAATTCTACCTGATAAGTACTATTTGTCAGGTAATACACCAGACATTCTCCTCTGGAAGCATGAACCAAATATCCTGACATCCTTAGTCTTCTGAGGTCAATGTCACAACATGTGAACAAGCCCTGGATTTGGACTGAAAAGATCCTAATTCAAGATTCAGCTGTGCCACTTAACAACTATAACCTTGGCCAAGTCACATAAACTTCTCTGAGCCTCAGTTTTCTTATCTGTAAAAATATGCAGATTAATTGAGGTAACATGATAAAGTAGAAAGAACCCTGAATTTGGAATCAGAAGCCTTGAGTTCAAATCTCAATGATACCAATGGCTTTAATCTCCCTGGTTCTCAGTTTCTTCATCTGTAAAATGACAGGATTGTGCTTGATAATCTCCAAGGTCCTAAATGTGCAGTTCTAAATCTTCTGATCTTAAAGAATTTGCACAACCTCCTTCCCAGAGCTTTTGTAAGGATCAAGATAAAGATTATATGTAAACAACTTTTTTACAAACATAAAGCACTCTATGAATGCAAGCTATTATTAGCACACTGATTGCTCACAAAATGGCTCTTTGGGGACAGTTAGAAGCAAAGCATTGAACTGGATAGAGACCTTTGGTTTGATTTGATTTGGTTTGGTTTGATCTACTATGTCATTTTTGCAAACTGTTTTTTTCTTTTCCCAAAAGAATTGTTTGACTGGGGGTGGGGCAGTCTGGAGGTAATTTAGCATATTCTCATTTTAGAGGTGGTGATGAGGTTTAGGGGTTAAAGAGTGCTGGGACCCCAAAAATCACAACATGCATGTCCTGTCTGAAAGAATTCAACCCAAGTCTTCTTTCAGCCAAAGACAAAGTTTATTAGAACATCTGCCATATTGGGCAGACTCTTAAGGAGTCTGAACATTAGTAAGCTATTGGCTAGATTATTAAGAATCTGAGCATCTTAATGGAGACAAGATGGGCCTTATATACAGAAAGACTGTGGGAGGGATCTAGGAGTGGCCAAGTAGTTAGGGGTGACTGGAGGAGGGGTCGAAGGAAGATTTGAATGGGAGTGGCCTGTAAGCTGGGGTGAACAGAACTCCTGGGACCTGGACAATGGAGCCTAGCTAGGATTAAGTGTGGGAAATGGCTGGGGGGCCATAGGGAGGGCTAAACTAGGTTAAGGGTAACAGAATTGGGAGACTGGGTGTAGCCACAATGAAAGACCAATTGATGGGATTATAGCCTCAGGGGAATGCCAGAGATTTGGCCACATGGGAAAGTCCAAGGTTCTTCCTTTCTGGGGTCTAGATCCCATCCTCATCAGTGGTACCAATCCAGTTGAGCTCCAGAGATAATTACACTTGCTTTACTAATGTGATTTTAAGAAAGTTAAGCATAGGCTGTTACTCCTTTGAGGACAAAGTTTTCCATAAATAGTCACAAAAAGAAAGGTTTCACTTAACAATATAGTTTTATTATCCCTACGATGGAAAAATAATATAATTACAAAGTTAGAATAAAATATATGTGCATAGTTTTTGAATGCCAGTATACCTTTATGAAATAACTTTTTCTGAAAAAAACCAGTGCCTTTGAAACAAATTTTGATAAATCATATTTTTCTGTTTAGCTCATTTATAAATATGGAGAGTTGTACTTCGGAAAGCATTTTAGCTTAAGGACATCACAAAAATCACACTTAAGAATGCAGTCAACCCTTTAAAATCATCTATTTAAAGGAAAATTATAATTTACTGATAAAAATGGCTTTTCTGAAGGATATTGTTCCAGGCTGAAAGGAAAAATTCACCTCATTTAAAATGTGTAATTCTAGAGATAATTTCTCTTTCCCAGATAGGAACAACAGTTAACCTCTATTTAGATACTTCCTAGTCTCAAATGGGAAGATTAGAATCTCATTTTGAGTGTCTTCTTGTGTCTTAATCATTAAGATAAATATTGGTCTGTTCTAGAGGTGGGAGCATATGTTCTATCTGCTTTTAAAATTCTATGCCTAAAATCAACATATGTCATCTGAGGTAGATCAAGGGCAACACATTTATTTGGATGATTTTATGGGTTTCTACCCATGCCTTGAACTTGTAGATCAGATTATTTTCCACCTTGTCCTGCTTGCTCTGAGGAAGCTAAAAGATCAGGAAGTTCTCTTCTTTTAAGAGTTTTTGAAAGAGAAATATCCATGTTATTAAAGGAAACAAGAATGGAGGTGGTTAGGGGAAGGGCTGTTTACCAGGTCCAAGAATCATAGCACAAAGTATTTAAAGATGCTAGTTTTTCTATTAATGTCCTTGTTTAAAATCTTGGTCAGTTCTATATGATAGTAAGCCTAATTCCTCCTATTTGGGCTCCACAGCAAACATTCTACTTGCAAGACAATAACAGAGATGTTCTTTATATACCACACATTTAAAAGAGTCATGGCACATTCAATTAGATTAAATTCACCTAATATTTATCAAGCATGCATGATACTTAAATAGATATGTAATCACATTGATTCAAGAGTTCCCTCCATGCCTACCCAACCTGTGGAATTTTGGTCTATGTTCACCTAAAGTTTGCCACAGGGTGTCCACCCAACAAACTAGAGACCCCTCTAGCCATTCACCTGTGATCTCTAGCTCTTACTATGAGGCCAGCCTCTTCCTATCTCACAGTTCCTTGGTGCCTGTACATCTACAGTATAATAAGCTTATATAGTTTTTGGAAACATCACAGTCTCTGCCTTCATTGAGTGCCCAACCTCCCTGGGGAAATGAAACCTATTTAACAATGCAAAACTTGTGATTAAGTGTTTAAAAAAAAAAAAGTAAAACAATTGTGGGACATTGACAATCTGGAGTCCCAGAGGGGAGTGAAGGTACTAGGAATCATCAGCCCAGAGAACAGCAGATCTGTTCTCTAGAACTGGATTCTAGAGAAGATATCTTAAGGTATCTGAAGGACGGTTATATGGAAGGGAGTAGATATTTAATTCAGTTCAGCAGGCATTTATTAAGTATGCATGTGCCAGGCACCAGACTAGATACTAAGGATGTGGCAAAAACCTACTTCTGTGTAAATAGTGAGGACAAAATTAAGACCAAGGGTTAGAATTTATATAGTTGGGGGAGGAAGAATTTCATCTCAGAAATGAAGATCTTCCCAACAGCTGTCTGTGAATGAACTGGGTACCTTGAGAAGCATGCAAGCTGAGATGGGATCCTTATCTATCAGGGGTATTAGAGAGGATGGTCAGAAGTTGGACTAAGTGATAGCTAAGATCCCTTCCAACTCCAAGATTCTTTGCTGTTAAAAAGGGCAGACTTCATGTAGGATAGGAGCTGGGTCCTGAATAAAGGTAGAATTTGATAACAGCCCACCACCAACTTCATCTCCTGCCAATTTACTACTATGTTTATTAAGTTACCAGAGTGGGATAGAAGCAAGAAGTTTTGCATTGCATCAGAAAGGTTTCACTTTTCATTTAACTCATATTTACATATCATTTTAAGTTTGACAAAGCACTTTTTATGCAGTAGTAAAAGTGAGGTGGATCCGGATGACAGGTGTCTTCTAATCCAAAACTCATTTTACAGATGAGGAAACTGAGGGTAACTTGCCTATGCTCATTCAGGTAAAACTAGCTCCTCTGACTCCAAATCCAGTGCTCTTTCCACAGTTTCATACAGAACCAGAATTTACACTCAGGTTTTCTTGACTCTAGGTCTAATATTCTTTCCACTATATCACACTGCTGCCTTTTAGAAGAATGGGGAGATAAAATTTGACAGAAACAATTACAAAAGCAAAAAAATAAACTTCTGCTGGAGGTTTTTTTGTCTTTGTTTCCAAAAAGAGGATAACCACCAATCGTGGAGCATTTAGGCATCACCCTAAAAGAAATAGAAAAGTAAATAAAGGAGAAATCAGAAACAACTGAAGTCACACTAAGGCATTTAGTAAACCCGAAAATGTAAATTACCTGGTGAAGAATTCCTTCTTTGACAAAAATTGCTGGAAAACTGGAAAGCTATTGAGGTGAAAATTATG